AGTGATTGCCGGTCACAACACGTGTAATTTCTAAATGAGCAATCCGTCATGCAGCTCATCAGGGCATCTGCTGTCCTGATGCTTACACAAACGGAGCAAACTGGGCACAAAGACACCCCCTCCTCTCTCTTTGTCGGGCTCTGGCAAAGCGCTGCAGACACCCACCACCCCAGAGCGGCTACAGCACCACCGCACCTTTGGCCCCAGAGGCAAAATGGATCTGGACGGACCAGGAAAGGTGGACCAGAAAAGGAGAGATTGAAAAAGAAGAAAGCTCTGGCCACAGATGCATGTCCAGGCTGGCCTGTATGTGGTCATGTTGGGAGAACCGGTTTAAGGTGGAGTTTTTGGGACAGTTTAATTATTGAGCATGCAGCGTGCAATGCCGGGCACGTGGGGGTGGGTTGGGGAGGGAGAAACAGCGGCTGTGAGGAACGGATCATGATGATCAGGTTCTGATGATCAGATCATCAGACTCATCCTTTAGGGACAGAGAGCAGTGCAATGGACCAGTACCAGCACCGCCGCCACTTCTAAAAATAACCTTTCAGCATGCCAGCACGTTTTCTAGGGTACAGTGCACACCAGAACATTTTCCAGGTATTCATTAGTCAAAATCTCAGAGATTTTGACAAGATATATGTGTGTCCTCTAACATCAGTCATCCACAGTCTGGCACGAGCTCCATGAAGGGCCGCATTTTGTGCAAAAGGCGTATGTACCACTGCCGCGAGGCGCGCCGCGCGTCACCATCAGCTCAGGCAGAGGAGAGAAAGTAAAACTGTTTCCCCACACCGTATTCCCACAATGACTGACAACAACATCAGCTGACTACCAGTGGTTAAACGCTCTGACAGGCAGGTACATCCATGGAGGAAAAACGTTTCTAAACGGAAATATGGATCGATGAATTAATGTCCCAGTCTGCCCCTGTGCTCAGAAGTAACTGATGAGGTGAAAAAGTAAGAATCCAGGCAGCAGTTTTTCTGGAGAGTTTAGAGGAGATGCAGGAAGATGAGAGACAGACAGGACAGGAAAATAGTTCAATAAAAACAAGAAAACAAAGAAAAATGTTTGAAAAGTAAAATGTAGGTAGATTTATATCCACTACTCTTTTTTTACCTGTATAAAGCAATAAGTTATACACATGTAATATTTATACATCTGATACAGTTCAGATCACCTTCAAAACTCAGTCACACACCCAGGGCTGTTTCAAGGCATTTTGGGGGCCAAAGCTAAATGACCCCCCCCCCCCCCCCCCCCCCCAACTGGTCTCCCCAGGAGCCTCTGTGTAATTCATACCCTCTCCAGGAGTATTAGTTATACGGTGTTTGTAAAAGCCCCTCAGACATGACTGACATGTTCTAGTATTATCAGATGAAAAACTACATTATCAGACATGCTGTCTCATCTTTTCTAAACTTGTAAAAAGTAACAAAACCATTTGAAAGCCACTATTTGTGGATTCTCTGAAAGTTTCCATGGAGTCTGTGACAAACTTTCTTTATCATTGATCCTATTGTCTAATCTCATGGCTGAAACAACGCTTTCTTAATAATAATAAACAGGAAGCGTACCGATGCTGTAGTAAAACAAAAGGTATAATAATTTCTTATTAATAAAACCTTGTTGCAGCACTAAAGCAGAAAAATGAGATTTTGCAATAAATATGTAAAATATTTACACATGAATTGTGTTAGAGCCCTTTTATTGGCAGAATCTGATATTAATTTTTGTTCTTACAAAAAAAAGGGTCCCAACGTGTTTGTGTGGCGTTGCCATAGTGTGACGTCCTAGGCACAGATCCCCTGTCCTATTTTTTGCAAATGGAAATATGGTCACCCTACCGTAATGTAAACTTTAATTCCTGCAGCGTAGCGGAAACTTGTTAAAATACGTCAACACGGTGGATTTAATAGAAGCTTTAAAGAACAAACTCTGGACGGTGTGAGGCGAGTTTGTCTCACTGCAGAAATAAAAACACACACGGAGCGTCAGCAGTCAGACGCAGCCGCTCACCAACACTCGTGTGTGTGTGTGTGTGTGTGTGTGTGTGTGTGTGTGTGTGTGTGTGTGTGTGTGTGTGTGTGTGTGTGTGTGTGTGTGTGTGTGTGTGTGTGTGTGTGTGTGTGTGTGTGTGTGTGTGTGTGTGTGTGTGTGTGTGTGTGAGAGAGAGAGAGAGAGAGAGAGAGAGAGAGAGAGAGAGAGAGAGAGAGAGAGAGAGAGAGAGAGAGAGAGAGAGAGAGAGAGAGAGAGAGAGAGAGAGAGAGAGAGAGAGAGAGAGAGAGAGAGAGAGAGAGAGAGAGAGAGAGAGAGAGAGAGAGAGAGAGAGAGAGAGAGAGAGAGAGAGAGAGAGAGAGAGAGAGAGAGAGAGAGAGAGAGAGAGAGAGAGAGAGAGAGAGAGAGAGAGAGAGAGAGAGAGAGAGCGTCAGAAGGCTGAACAATAACCTGTAGAATAATTATGTTTATGTTTATATTTATGTGCTTAGCAGACGCTTTTACCCAAAGCGACTTACAATTTATTTATTTATTTATTTATTATTATTTTTTTAACCTATAGGGCATGTTGTGATTATCTTATATATTATATAATATATAAGATATAATATAATATATTATATATAATATAATATATATAATATATATACACTTAAATTATAAGATAATTAAAGTCATCATGCTAGAGCAGCTTAATCTGCGGTGGACCACACCAGCTTCTGCCACAATGAATAATAATAATAATAATAATAAATCACACACAAAGTTGTGAAAATTGTAATTTCATTTTGAACTATTTCTGTTGAGTTTTAATGTTTAAAATCTGTTAGGTTGTTACTGACAGCAGCTACATTTAGGTTTCACCTTCTGTTCTGACTGAATGCTGCTGCAGCATGGAGGTGTAGCTCTCAGTCATCCTGGACGTGATCATCCTGAGAGTTTTAGCTGGAAACAGCTGGACGTTCCTGGATATGTTGGAGACATTTAGCCTCTCATCCCAGAGGCTGCTTCCAGACTCTGGTTGTGGTCAGAAACAAACACACTAGTTGTGCTGCAAGTCTTTTTCTTTTTTTCTCCAAAACATGTTTCTGTCTAAATGAAGGTGATGTTGTTGTTCATAGAATTAAAATTCATGTTGAAGTTAAGATTATTTCATCAAGTAGGACCTGTGGTTAGCTGGCTCATTTAAAACATGTCATGTCTTGAAAGAATCGGAATCGGGAATCGATAGGAAACAAAATCGAAACAAGGAATTGGAATTGGAATCGTTCTAAATCAAACGATTCCCAACCCTGAAAATACTAAAGTGGCTTTATGAGAGGAATTCTGTGCAAAGACCATCATGAACATGTTTTGTGACTGTAACTATTACAACAAGAGTTTCAACATGTGTCCTTTAAGGAAAGATGGGCCTTAATTAAGCATCAAAGACAGGAAGAATTATCCATTGAAACCTGAGCTTTTGTCCTTGTGAAAACAACTTCCCTTTTTGGGAATGTTCTGTAAGCAATGGAGGAGCAAATATATGTATTCTGAATATTATAGAAGTGTGTATGGTAAAATGGTGCCACCCTTTTTTGGCAGCCTTCCTCCACACTTTCCTCCGACATTTTTAAAAACGGGCACAATTATAAAATTGATTAAGTTGAGCCTTATTAATCTGAATTCCACAGATAATTTGCTATTTTGGTTCAAAACACTATTTTGACATTTTACATGAATTATATTTCATCAAACTCTGAGATTTAAAAAAAATCTGTATCAAAATTTTTAATATTCTCACAAAGCACGAGGGATTAAAAGCATTAGACGATATTCAGCCTGATCTAAAACTAAAAAAATCTGAGTTTTGGGGGGATTGCAGTAACGTAATCTCTCTTCTTTCAGAATTACGACTTAATCCGAACAATCACAGTCATCACCAAGTGTCTGTGTATTTTTCTCTCTCTTCTTTAAGGTGGAAGCTCCGTTTGTCCCCAAGTTCAAAGGACCAGGCGACACCAGCAACTTTGACGACTATGAAGAGGAGGAGATCCGCGTCTCCTTCACTGAGAAATGTGCCAAGGAGTTTGCTGAATTCTAGAATTTGAGAACAAGAGAGGATAAAGAAGAGAAAGAATTAGGGAGAGTCACAGGTAGGCTGGTCGAGAAGGAGACGTTAAAAGGAAGTACCGTCTCCTCTCTAAACACAAGCACCAGCTGCAAAATAAGAAGGGAAAAATGGAATAGAGAAGAGAGAGGAGACTGATAACCAGCAGTGTTGCCTTTTCTGTTGCGTCTCTGTTGTTTTATTTATTATTATTCTGTCTTATTTATGAATCCCTTTATAACGAGGCTGTTTCATGGGTGTCAGGAACCCCACTAACTTAGATCTGCCTCTACACATTTTCATCCATCTTTCCTTTTTTTTCTTTAATAGTTTCCTTCATCTTTAATTCGTTTTTGTGCCATGACACGAAGAAATCAGCCGATCGGTTACATGAGCCCAGCAAGTCCACACCAAAATGTCATTATTTAATCACCTTTTTTTTTAATTAGTGAGCAGAACACACAACGGTAAGCGCTCGGATGTTCTGCAGCGTTTATCCTTTGTTCTTGTATTTAAATGCTAACTCTTTCATATCATAAACAAGATCCTTTTAAGCACGAGGGGCCAAAAGACAAACAGATGACACAAATGTTAGTTGTGTAACTCCATATAATGTTACGACCATTGTTCTACTCAGACTTTGTACATATCTGCAGTACTCCATTTTTAAATGTCAATAGATACTAGTGGCTCCACTGAAACCATGTACGCTAACAAACAAGGAAATATGACTAAAGGAAAGGGTTCGTCTCAGTTTTACCGGTGTTGCTAAAAGAGAAACAGGAACACCACAACATAAAGGAAACTCAGGTTTGAACATATCACATTTATCTTGAGAATCAGCAGGTGGATCTCTGAGTATGGATTTGGAAATTCAAAGTTTGGGTTCAAATTTACAGAGCTAAAAAAAATGGGACTATTCAGAGTTTTTGTTAGCGTCTTCCACAGTTCTCCCTTCCAGAAGATTTGGTGTTTTGCTTACTCTGCAAGTCTGTTTTGATATAAGCACTTCCTGTTTCAGCTTAAGATGAGTCTGCTTGTTGAATCAACCGTTTGGCCCCTGAGTCTGACCCAAAGAGGCCGTCTGAGGTGGACGACCTCACTCGGCTTCTGACTGGTGGTCACCAGTACGATGTGAATCATGTGCTTTACTTTCATCTTGCTTACCTCTTTCTTTGTACCGATAAGGAAGCAAGACCACGTTATGATGAGTGCAGGTTTTTTCCCTTTTGTATTTGTTTGACTTGGTGATTAAACAAGGATCGGTATTCTATTAAATAAGATGGGCCTGGTTCACAGAGCTAGATTTTGAATTTGTTGGACGACCTTCAAAGTGGCAAAAAAAAATCACTGATTTTACAGTTTTGGTGAGTGGTGTGGAGCAGCACGGCAAGAGCTACACACAAACCAACTTCAGTCTCAAGGATTTCCCAGTCAGACAGGAAATCTTGCCAAACCTCTCGAGATAAAACGTGACTTCAAGGTAAACAAACACGGCGGAGAATGAGTGTGCAAAATGCTTCTGCCACCTTGCTTTCTGATTGGCTCAACATGCATTCAACAGGCAGCACACTCTTTTGTCCATAAAATCTTGGTAAGACAATCCACCATGTTCATTACCCCTATGTTATGACATCCTTCTTCACAGGCCAAAGCAGTCTTAACACACCACACATGACAGAAATTTCTGATAAGATTATCAGCAATCAGACATGTTCGTAAAGGCCTTGTTCACTGAGTAACTGTAACACTAGATTTTTTTAGGGAAAGGAAATATATGGGAAAACGATCAGGTCAGCAAAAGCCTGTTTCGTAAACGTCACAGAGGAAATTGGCCTCCATGGCCCCGCCCACGTTGGCTTCCAACCACTCACAGGAAGGCCGTATTCTTCTTGTGGCCAGCAGAGAGCAGAACGTGTCTCGGCTAGTAGAAGCCAACCATTAGCAACTAATGGGTCATCCCCATCTGTACCGGGTCGGCCCGGGCCGGGTACCGTAGGTTGTTTACATATCTGGGTGGCCTGGTATTTTTCTGGGCCAACCAAGGCTCATTCTCAGCCCTCTTCTCGAGGGGGTCTGCTTCAGGCCGACCAGGGCCAACACACCCACTGCTGACAGCAAATTCACACCTTCCATTAGAGCAAGCCTCTGATTGGTGGGTAGAATCAGCCCACATGGGCTTAAGGCAAGGATGTGTGGAATCAACCGGGCCAGGCTGGGGCCGACTGGGGCTACCCGGCCCGACCCGGTACAGATGGGAATGGCCCATTAGAGTTGCATTGTGAGCCAATCAAAGTGAAACGCTTGCATATCACAAGTATTAATATCTAAGACTCGTAACCCTACCATTTTTGCACCCCCCCCCCCCCCCACACACACACACTCCAAACTTCCACCCCCTGAAACCGCAGTACCAGAGCTTTTTTTTTTTTCATTCTTAATTTTTTTACAAAAACGATTCACGAGCAATCATTAAGTTATCACCACAGCAAATGCATTTGACACAACAAGTGAATAAGACGTTAAAGATTGCTGGAATGGAAGAATCGGGTCATTTAATCTGCTGTGTGAACCGGGCCTAAGCCTCAGTAAACACATAGAGGTGAATGGTGTCGTTGACGAGCTGAACCTCAGGTCTTCAGGGTCTCTTTGGTTGATAGTTTGATTGCACAGAGCTTCATCTGATGGTCATTTTGTTAATTTAGTTCATTGGAAATCCATTGAAAACACAAAAAATTGTACTGTGGTTTTTATCTCAGTTTATTTAAGTTCTGGAGGTTTTTTTTTTAATTCCTTTAGTTTTCTCTTGTTTAAAACTGCTCAGAAATGAAACTAATATATAAATAACAAGCCTTGTTTCAGAATTACACATATGCAATGTGTAATTGTTTGTGTGTTCTTTGTGAACTTGATTGATTTTTGAAATGACCCAACATGAAGGAATTTGCATGGGGGGGGGGATTTTTCCACAATGGTCCAGAAATGGGCCCCGGGCCTCACATTCCCTCATTCAGCCCCAGCATTACTGTGGAAATGTGACTTAGATTTAAAAATGGATTTATGCAGCACCGCATCTTAAACATCTGTAATGACCTCCTTGGAAACTTACCTTTAATTGCAGCAAAACAACAATTTGCAGAAGAGGCTGCAAAGATCTTTGATTAAAGTCCATTATGGGTCAAACTCCCCCCAAAACTCTTAATTCTTCACACCTCTTAACCTATGTGGATATTTCTAAAAGCATATTGAGGTGCTACATTTAACGTACACCCAACAGTTAAAAATAATCCTACAATTTAACATAATTTTACCAGCATGTTGTGTAACACGGCCAATCAGGTTTCAAATAAAAAAGAACCAAATTAACTTTACTACTCATATAAAATGACTGGATGTTGTGCTTCCTTTGACATTTTACAACTGGTTTAATTGTAATAAACAAAAATGTTGCAGTTAATCTGGGGCTCACATTATAAATTGGCCTCATGATAATTTGAGGCTAAAATTCCTTTCATGTACTAATTTCCTTATCATATTAAGTGGTTAAGTGCTGATGATTGTTTCTACTTCATCTTTGAGAGAAATGGCTGAAAAATCAACATTTCACTGATACATCTGAAGTTAAATCAGCAGTTGAATGGTGGGATGGATCCGCAGGCTCATTGATTATGGACTAATAAACCCACCGTTTTCATCAGCATTGTTTACATATCTTGTTGGGACTTTGCATTTGCTATATTTCCTTCATGTCAGGTTCAGGATTATGGAGCTTCACTTCTGCCACTTGGAGAACAAAATAGTTATATGGGGTGTCATAATTGTGATTTTCAAAAACCCAAGTATTACCAAAACTTTATTGTCTTTGAACTTGAATTGTGGATGCCCCTTTAATGGAACAATATGACAGGAAAATTCATATTCATACATTTCAAAGTAGAATTGTTATTTTTCTAAGTCATAATTATGACTCTTTGTTGTAACCGTGTCCCAAAGCAGATTTTGAAAGTGTGACTTTTAAAAGAGCAATTATAACTATCAAAGTCATCATTATGACATTATCCAATAATCACACCTTTTAAACCCCTCAAAAGTCAAAATTATGATTTTAAGGTCACAATTAAAGGACAAACGCTTCTCTCATTGTAGACATTCCTCATGTGGTGTGAATTTAGATACAAATCTTAGTCATAGGTATGATTTTCAAAGTAATACAATTATATCTGAAAAATATGTTTAAATGCCATAATTATGACTTTACTTAATAAGACTATCTTATAAGGATTTTAAAAGTCATAATGACTTTGAATCTGGATTTTATCTTCAAACCTCTGAACACTGATTTTGAAAGTCAAAATTATGACTTTATTTACATTAATAAAATTCTAAAACCTGGATTAGTTTGTTTGTGATTTTGAATGGTAATCTAAAACTTAAAATACTCATATTCATGACTCGGTATCCTATAGTTATGCATTTAAGGCATCATGGTTTTCAAAGTCATAATTATGATTTTTATGAAATGCATACGGTAACTATTAATTTTAAAGCCATCACGTCATATATGTGGACTTTTTTTTCCAAGTTGGGGAAATGGACCTCCATACAGTATTGATTATCCTGGAGCAAAAAATGTTTGGAGTTCTGATGTTATTGTGTCTCCTCTGTGTTTTTGCAGTGATACAACTTCCGTTCAATGCAGGCACAATGCTGGTACATAGCCTACTGTCGCGCACTTTTTAAGGAAATGAGACCCCGATGTAAAATCCATGTTAATCCCTGCCACAAACTCAACACTCGCGAGACACAGGCGCAAAAAGTGAAGGGTCAAAAGTCACGGGAACGGTGACTAAAAAAATGAAAAAAAAAACAGGAAGTGTAATATTTTGCAACATGAGTATCATTCCAATAAAGTTTTACTTGTAAAATTCACTTGAATTCTGTGATTCTGTTTGTTTTTTTAAGTTAAAATTGTGGTATTTTATAATCGTGTTGAACTTTTGAACTTCCTGAATGTCCTGCAGAGTGACTTCTATCAATGCGTCTTTGAGTTCGGATCCGCGAACAAAGAAAACCGTTTTGAATTTGAAACAACTCCACCTTAAATGCATTTTGCGTCTGTGAGCCAGGCGCCATCTTCAGTCCACCTTAAGCGCACAATATGTGGCTAACGAACGCAGGCGTACCAGTCGGGCTTCCGTCCTTATTCTCCAGCCGGGGATCGCACTTTTGGCTTCCACACGGCGTCACTAGTGGAACAAGAGGGGCAGAGAGAGACGCACTCGGGCCGAGCCCCGTCCGCACCCAGGGAAGATGTCCGAGCCCAACAAGTACCGAGAGTGGATCCTGGAAACTATCGACTCCCTCCGCTCCAGAAAAGCCCGTCCGGATCTTGAAAGGATTTGTCGAATGGTCCGGAGACGACACGGGTCAGACCCGGACCGAACCAGAACTGAACTGGAAAAACTCATCCAAGAGCAGACTGTGCTCAAAGTTAGCTACAAGGGATCCATTTCGTACCGGAACGCGGCGAAGGTGCAGAGGAAAAGCAGAAAGAAGAGTCCGTTCACGGCCGCTGCAAGCAGCGGCGGCGGCGCGGATGCGCCGAGGGAGCGGACCAGGCATGATCATCTGAACAACAACGGCGACAGCGCGCACAGCTTCACCGACCAAGAGGAGGAGGAGGAGGACCCGGAGCCCAGCCCAGATCTCCACACCAAGACATCAGCCTGCAGCCCCAGGAAGAAGCTGAAGCCTGCCTCCAGCCCGGGTAGCGGAAACGGGTGCCTCCGTTGTGGCGCAACAACGAGCTGCGCTGTCGGGAGCGGCTGTGAAGAGGAGAAAGCAAGTGCGCCGAGAGACGAAGGAATAGGACAGCAGGGAGCGGGGGGCAGCCCGTCTCGGTTCGGCTGCAGAACAGGCGAGGGCAGCGCAATAACACCGAGCAACGCCGACGCAGCTGGGGGAGGAAAGAAGCCTGATTTGTCCGGATCTGAGAGCAAAACTTACTCTGGGAGCGCCGGCAGCCTCCCTCAGCAACCCAAGCAGCCTGTCTCCCTCAAGCCCAAACTTCGACTCGCAGGAGGAGACGCGAAGACGACGGAGAGGCACGCGAACTCCAATGTGGTGTCCTCGGGTCGCAGCCTGTCCGACAGGAGCCTCACTGGGGGCTCCTCCGCCGCGACCAGAGGCCACATGATGAAGCCGCTGGGCTTGAAGGAGATTCTGGGCTACCTGAGCAGCCATGAGCGGCTCTCGGAGGAAAAGCTGACCCGAGGCAAAGTCAAGGTGGTGATGGAAAGAGAGGTGGAGAGGGGCCGGCTGCGCAGGACGCGCTGCGGGAACATCACTGTCCCTCTGAGGGGAATGGTGCTTGAGGAGACCGTGTCGAAAAACGCGTCCAGCAGCAGACTTGCAAAAAGCGCACTGCAGGACACAGACGCTGAGAAAAAGGTGGGCAACTTGTTATTTCCAACACGTCCCGACTACAGCGCACACTGAGCAGCGGCAGCTCGGCTCCATGGCGTGCTGATAAATTAATGAGCAGTGTTTAAAAAGGCGGCACGCGCGGCTTCAGGACGCGCTCAGCTTACAATTCTAATTTTTATCTAATGAAACCTCGATGTTTGAGGCTCCAAAAGTGTCCTCCTTATCTAAGGTGATTGATAAACGGGCTTAGTGTCGAGCAACTGTCACTGGGGCGGGTCTGCGCTTTGCGTTGCGTTTGTTCTTTTATGTGCGTGTCGGTCGGCTCCTGCACAAAAGATGCGGGCTGCACGCACAGAGTAGCAGACGGTTCAGGAGCAGCTTCCCCAGCGAGCACGCGCACCGCAAAGAGCGCCTCTGTGCTGCAGGCTCGCGCATCTTCCCATTCAGTTGCCCCTGTTTGATTTCGCTCTTTGGAAGTTTTTTAGAGGTAAACTTGACTGCCGCGTGAGCGCATGCTCTGGCGCGCAGGCCGGTGGAGGACTCGGCCCAGACCGCAAGAAATCGAGTTTGTTCGTGTTTATTTAACCTTTTAATCTTTTTATCCTTCTCTTACCTTTTTTATTCCCGCATCTTTATGGGGCACCGATACAGCTGGGGTGTTTTTGTTTAAAAAAATTAAGTGAAAAAAAATAGAATCACATCAAGATATTATCAATTTAATTCAAAATCTGAAGTTAAACTTATTTATAAAACCCCGGTATAACATTGACATAACTGTTTACAAAAACTAAGAGTAAATATATTTATAATAAACACATAACATGAGATATCTATAACATCTAAAGTTAAAACATGTTTGTTGCAATAATATTTAAATAAACTTAAAATTGTAATTAAGTTTAAGTAAAACGAATGTTTTACAATAAAACTTAAATATATGAAGTGAAATATTTAAGTTGAAATCTAAAAGTATAAAGATAGCCTATAAATATACATATGAACGTGATTGTTTTAGGCAAGGCAAGGCCTAAACGTAACTTTCATGCAAACTATAAGTCCAAATTTTTAAACATGTTAACATTTTTTAATAAACATGAAAAGTAGAAAAAAAATTCAAACCCCATTTTTCATATTTTGAGATCATAACCTACAGCTAAATAGATTTTTCCTTCCTAAATGTGTTAATTTTCAATTGGCATTCCCATACATTCTTCCTGCTTATGTCTCATTTAACCCTTTAGCGTCTGAAAACGACCTCTCCTCTTTTGTCTTTTCCCTGTAATTGCAAACTGAAGTTGTTGCAGCGAGCGACTCGTTATTTCTGATGTGTCTCTTTATCTGTCAAGGAGAAACCTGCTGTAACATCAATAATTCCTGCTGAAGTCCATAAATTAGACTCACTTCACAGTTTCTCTTAACTCGTGTAAAGATTTTTATCCCACAACTTTATTATTCTTTGCAGCCGCCTTTGCTGCCTCTCCAGGACAGTGAGCCGATGGAAACTGCCAGCGAAGAAGAAGAGGAACAGGGAGAGGAGAAGGAAGAGAATGATGATGATGATGATGATGATGATCCCAGGTGCTCTGATCAGGAAGGAGGAGTATCCACTGTAGCCATGACAACTGAACCGGGGCTCATTGAGAAGACAATAGAAGCTGCTGTGATCCAGAAGAAGAGCCAGCAGCTGGAGGATGATGGAAAAGGTGGATCAGTGGATCTGTGTTCTGATGAAAGAGGTTTGTTACATATCACCCTAAAATACCAGCACTTTCAACTTTAACAAGAACTTTTATTTTGAAACATGTTTGCTAGTTTTAACCCACCTTCTCATATTTTATTTCATTCTGACTATATTTCAGCTGCTGACTCCTCAGAGATGTCTGTACTGGGTTTTCTCTCAGAATCAGAGCCTCTCCCTTTTGAGGAAGCTTCGTCACACTCTAACGGTGCCTTCTTAGGGAAAAGCGCTCAGTTAGAGGTTCAAGTGAGTGCACACATTGAATTCTAAAACCTGGAAAATGCATGTATTTTTATGCATCTGAAGGGACTTTCAAACATCATTTACCCAAAACCTTCAGCAGCTTCCGACTCTCAACATGTCAACTAAACCAGTTAGTTTTTAACAACAAATACATTTTGATTAGATGATATTAAAGTGTTTTCTAAGCTGTAAAGCTTATAAACACAGTTAAAGCACTGGATTACTTTAAATGTATTGAATTTAACTTAATGTAATGAATAATCTGATCTAAAGCCAGTAATTAGGAATTCTGTCTGGAAGAAGTCTAATTTTTCCTTTTTCTTCTTATTTCCACATAAAAATATGTAATATGGGGGAAAGTTTACATAATTGGAAAGTCGATGGATTTTTTAAAAATTGTGTGGCCCAATCAGAACAAAAAAGTATCATCATCACTATTAATTTATTTTAAGTATTGAGTGTTATTTTTTAATCCACGCTCATGAAGCAGTTTTGGTTACCACTTTACACTGTGGCTCCCCATATAAATAGCCAATGTTAATAAATCTGTAACCTTTTATACGCAATAATACACGTTTATAATTGAGTTTTTTAGTATTTTACTAATACTTAATGATTTTTAACAACTATACAAATTACTCAGAATAATGCCTTTTAGCCGGAAAACATTTTCTACACGTTGGCCTGCCATCTGTACAAAAGCGAAGATAAACGGCACCGAAAGCAATTCTTTTGAAAACTCTGACCAAAATGGAGATTTGCGAATTCTCCATTGTCAGCATTTGCTCGTAGACGTAAATAACCGGGTTTAGGTGTCACAACATCACTGCCCGTGACAAAAATGCTATACGTGTGTTTACACTAGCTTGTTTTTAGAAGCAAAATTACTGCTCTAGAAGACAACAGACAAGGAACAATGTTTACCGCACCACCTAATCCAAAGAATTCGGAATGATGCGGAATATTTGGGGAATTACTGCCACCTACAGGCTTGGCACGCCTATGAATGTGCTTCACAATGCACTGGGATATTTATTTATTTTTTGCAGATAATGAAGTTGTGTGCACCCAAGTTATTCTCCTTTAGGGGTGCATTTACATGCACATCAGAAAACCAGAGTACTACCCTAAAAAGATTCACGCTGTTTTTTAGTTTTTTTTATTGTGTTACCAGCGCCAGCCCTAAGCTGGGCGGTGACAAGAGGCACACAGCTAGCATAGGCCGTGTTGCAGAAAATCAGAGTCTATGGCTGGGGACAGAAGAGGGAAACACGTTGTAAGACCATAGCTCGTTTAATTCTGACATTTCACACACAACATATTCATACAATAGACAATAATCCCAAAAATAAGTGACAACACAGTAAACGATAGTAATAAAATGAAAATCAATAAGTATAATTAACAAAATATTGAAAAGTGCAAATAATAGAGGCTGTAAATAGAATACAATTTACAAAACACAATAATTAAATCTATCAAAATAATAATAAAATGACACTAAACACCTTTGCTCACTCCTGTCACTAAATCATTGCAGCAAAAGAGCTTAATTTACTCTAGTGCCAAAAACACAGTTAATCTGTTACTTCCGATCTCTCTCTCTCTCACACACACACACACACACACACACACACACACACACACACACACACACACACACACACACCGAAACGCTGAGCTTAATCAACAAAAATGTGCCTCTAAATGGCGGGCTGATCAACAAAATAACACCCAACGTGGGGATCTCAATAAACTTGAATTTACACCCTTACTTCTGCTTATTTTATACCCAACCAGAGATATAAGGAACCACCTTTCATCAAACTTATATACAGGTCTATTGTTCTTTGACCTTTATGCCCTTTCCCCCCAAACCACTCTTCGTCAAGCTTGACAGGTCTATTGTTCTTTGACCTATATGCCCTTTCCCCTAAACCACCTTACATCAAACTTGACAGGTGTATTGTTTTATGACCTTTTGTGATATGACCTTTAATGACCCTATATGTCAAGAAATGAATTGATGACTGTTGTGTAATGGCGCGTGAAGTAATTGATTGTAGTCCCCTTTTGTCAAGATGTATATTGATGATCTGCTTTGATGTATTCAATCTGCACCACTTTACGTCAAGTTAGGATTGATAACTCTTTTGTGTTATGATACCCCACAGTTCCCACAGCCCCTCCCTTTCATTCGTAATACCCCACATCCCTCTAGCGATGGGTACCGAATTCGGTACTTTTTAAGGTACCGACCGAATTCCATAGTACCGACTGAGCACCGATTCACGTCATTTGAAACGGTGCCTCGTTTCGGTACCCGTCCTTCATAACGAGAACTTGCCTAGACAGCTGCACATGCGCAAGAGCGTTATGTCGTCGGTCACTGCGAGTGAGTTGTAAACAGAGCAGCATGGTAGAAAGAACGCACGCTAAAGCTTGGGTCCACTTCACTAAATGTGATGGGTAACTGGGTGATGATGAAACCAGCGACAACGATCTAAGTGAGACATCCACATCTTAATCTGTTCCGGTAGGTAAATAAAATGTTTAAGATAATAGTAGCTTGTGTTAACTTCCTTTTCGCTAATGGTGCGTTCGCTTTCTCATCGGAACTCCGAATTTCCGACTAGAAGAACATGAACGCGCTTTAAAGTTTGGCTTCACTTAACTAAAGGCGACCGGTGATTGGGTGAAGATGAAACCAGTGACAATGATGTAAGTGTGAGGCATCATCGTTTTAATCTGCTCCAGCAGTTAAATAAACTGTTTAAGATAATGTTAGCTTGATATGTTAGCTTCCATTGCCACCATTGTTATCAGCTAATGGAGCGTTTGCTTTCTCCTCGGAAATTCTAACTTCCCAGTAGGAAAAATCAAATGAAAAAGGACGGCAAAAGGAATGAAGGTCGGATCCGTTTCAGCGGACAGACTGAGAACGTATCAGAATGGTGAAAGGCCGAAGAAATACCTCTAAGAAAATGGTGAAGCAAGAGGAGATGGATGAAGTGTCTACAACCGATGCTTCAACCTCTACCCGAACAGAGAAGGAGGTGAAAGAGGAGAGAGTGGACACGCCGTTGCCGCTATCACAGACCTTGCTCTGTGAAAAATCCATAGTGATCCATCAGCTGCCTGCAGAGGGTGGTGCTCCCCACAAATCTACATTCTACATGTGTAGAGTTCAGCCTTCCTCCTTTTGGTGGTAAAGAGTCCTTGGAGCAAATATGGCCGCTGGAACCTTACGGCTATACCGGTAGTTTTAGGTACCGGTTCAGCTATGACACTAATGGGCCATTCCCATCTGTACCGGGTCGGCCCGGGCTGGGTAGCGTAGGTTGTTTACATATCTGGGTGGCCTGGTATTTTTCCGGGCCAACCAAGGCTCATTCTCAGCCCTCTTCTCGAGGGGGTCTGCTTCAGGCCGACCAGGTCCAACACACCCACTGCTGACAGCAACTTCACACCTTCCATTAGAGCAAGCCTCTGATTGGTGGGTATAATCAGCCCACATGGGCTTAAGACAAGGATGTGTGGAATCAACCGGGCCAGGCTGGGGCCGACTGGGGCTACCCGGCCCGGGCCGACCCGGCACAGATGGGAATGGCCCATAAGGAGCTGTGTCTAATCCATGATGTGGCTGAGGACAAACCTCTCAAGCCATATTGATCACATTCAGCGGTTCTCTCCTACAATGACTGGGCAGTGCTCAACCTTCGTCCGGCTGTAAAACAGAACGCTGTGAAAGCTTTCAGCGCTTTATGGGAGGGGCTGGAGGATGCAGATGGGCAGTAGATTTTCAAGGCCTCGGTCTGGGAAAGAGGATCGGAGCTCTTTTTTGTGCTGGAAAATGTGCATGCTGAATGCGGTATTTACCGCCTTTTACAGGTTGTACCTTTCGAGGCCTGGTGTGAGAAAATAGATGAAGTGGGGGATCAGATCACTTCACATTTTTGTACCAGCCGCGGCTGGAAAGACATTCTGACAGTGCGAAACAAGCTGGAATTCTAAGCCATGCCTCAGGAGGAGGAGGAGGAGGAGCGGTGGTTACATCATCAAACCACGCCCCCCACCCATCACTAGTTATAAATAGCTTTCAGCTAGAAACCATTTCATCCCAGACGATCTAGCGCATCAGCATGATGGGTTTCTATACTCAGTCAACCCTTGATGAACTATAGGCCCCGGACAGCTTTTCCCCGCAACCAAGCTGGGTGCTAGCCGCTTCATCACCACCGAGATGCAACGGCAGTCCGTGGCCCACGTCGCCGCCACCACCATCATGCTTTCCGGAGGATAACTTCCCACAGCTCCCCACAATCATGGAGGTTCCGGAGACCGTCTCTGCTAACGTACCCTTCAGACCCTGGATCGACGAGACTCCGACGAGTCCTGATACTCCGCATCCTTCAGAGACATCAATCTCTGAACCGCCACCGGTTTTGCCTCAACCTGCTCGGGAGGACCGTGTGCAACAGCAGCAGCAGCAGCAGACCCTCGACATCCAGAGCACCGGTGAGGAGCCTCTACAGTATGTCTGCCTGACTGGGTGTTTTCAGAAGACATGGTGGACCGAGTGAAGATGGGTCTTCTTCACTTGGTCAACATGGCGATCAAAGCTCTCCTACCTACAATCTGTCACGGATGCAAGATCGATCACCCCAGTCAGCGGCAACACTAATGTCTTTACGTAACTGAAATTGAATTATTTTACAATTTTCACTTTTCTGACATTATCAGCAGAGTTTTTACACCTAAACTGATTCCGGCTCTTCAAAGTTTTCTCAGTCTACATGGCTTCCAGCTGGACACTGAGATCCTGTTCACCATGGCTGTGACGCAGCTGCATGGATTCAGGGCTGTGATGCCCATTCACAAAGACATTTTTCCGGTGTACGATCGCGTGACCAAAGCTGACCTGGATGCACTGGCTGCGGTGGTGGAGTGAACTGTGAGGGGTACGCTGTCTCTTCTGCAACTAGTTTTTTTTATTATAATCA